AAAGAAATAGAGGAAAATAATAGAAAGGGAAAAACCAGAGATCTATTCAAGAAAATTGGAGATATTAAAGGAACATTTTGTGCAAAGATCGACATGATAAAAGACAAAAATGGTAGGGACATAACAGAAGCAGAAGACATCAAGGTGGCAAGAATACACAGAGGAATTATGACAGAAATATCTGGATGTCCCGGACAACCCAGATAATGTGGTTGCTGACCTTGAGCCAGACATCCTGGAGAGTAAAGTCAAGTGGGCCTAACAACAAGGCCAGTGGAGGCGATGGCATTCCAGTTGAACTATTTAAAATCTTAAAAGATGAGGCTGTTAAGGTGCTACACTCAATATGCCAGCAAGTTTGGAAAACTCAGCAGTGGCCAGAGGATTGCAAAAGATCAGTCTACATCCCAATCTCAAAGAAGGGCAGTGCCAAAGAATGCTCCAACTACCATACAATTGCACTCATTTCACACATTAGCAAGGTTATGCTCAAAATCCTACAAGGTAGGCTTCAGCAGTATGTGGACTGAGAATTCCCAAAATTACAGTACAAGCTGGATTTTGAAGGGGCAGAGGAACTAGAGAACAAATTGCTAACATGCACTGGATTATGGAGAAAGCCAGAGAGTTCCAGAAAAATATCTACTGTACTTCTGCTTCATTGACTCTTGAGAGTCCCCTGGACTGCCTTTGACTGTGTGGACCACAGAAAACTATGGCAAATCCCTAAAGAAATGGGAGTTCCTAACCACCTTATCTATCTCCTAAGAAATCTATACGTGGGACAGGAAGCAACAGTCAGAACTGGATATAGAACAACTGATTGGTTCAAAATTGGGAAAGGAGTACAACAAGACTGTATATTGTATCCCTGCTTATTTAACTTATATGCAGAATACATCATGCGAAAGGCAGGAATGGATGAATCCCAAACCGGAATTAAGATTGCTGGAAGAAGTATCAACAACCTCAGTTATGCAGATGATACCACTCTGATGGCAGAAAGTGAGGAGGAATTAAAGAACCTCATAATGAGGGTGAAAGAGGAGAGCGTAAAAAAAGAATGGTCTGAAGCTCAACATTAAAAAACTAAGATGACCACTGGTCCCATCACCTCCTGGCAAATAGAAGGGGAAGATATGTAGGCAGTGACAGATTTTACTTTCTTGGGCTCCATGATCACTGCAGATGGTGACAGGAGCCATGAAATTAAAAGACCCCTGCTTCTTGGGAGGAAAGCGATGACAAACCTAGACAGCATCTTAAAAAGCAGAGACATCACCTTGCGGACAAAGGTCCGCATAGTCAAAGCTATGGTTTTTCCAGTAGCGATGTACGGACATGAGAGCTGGACCATAAAGAAGGCTGACTGCCGAAGAAGTGATGCTTTTGAATTGTGGTATTGGAGGAGACTCTTGAGAGTCCCCTGGAGTGCAAAGAGAACAAACGTATCCATCCTGAAGGAAAGCAACCCTGAGTGCTCACTGGAAGGACAGATCCAGAAGCTGAAGCTCCAATACTTTGGCCATCTCATGAGAAGAGAAGAATCCTTGGAAAAGACCCTGATGTTGGGAAAGTGTGAAGCCAAGAGGAGAAGGGGACGACAGAGGACAAGATGGTTGGACAGTGTTACTGAAGCTACCAACATGTATTTGACCCAACTCTGGGAGGCAGTGGAAGACGGGAGGGCCTGGCATGCTCTGGTCCATGGGATCACGAAGAGTTGGACACGACTTAACAACTAAACAACAACTGTAATTTCCAAGTTCTCCAGTATAAACACCCCACTATTTACCTTTAAAAACATTTAAGGAGCACAATATTTAAAAATTAAATGTCTTTAGAGCACTATCTGAAAATAAATTGGAAATAATACTTTGTTTCCCACCTCTGCAGTAAGGAAAGTTCCTCTCCAACCTTGGTTAATAACGCTGATCTTTCCTGTTTACCAGCTGACTCTGCAGCAACATGGTGAATAGGTTGTGCACATCTGATTTAAAAGGAATACTTCATAAATAAGGAACAAATTATAGGGTATGAAAAATTACTATTGATGAGGCCAATATACTTGAATTACCAGAGTTGACTGTACTCTAATGGAATGCCCCAAGGTTGTTTTGGCTGCATGCTTGTTTGATTTATATCTGTATGATTTGACAGTTTTTGTACTCAGGTACTATTGTCTTTACCAACTGCGGGTCTGAAGAAAATAATAGTATAGGGATTCCTTCTCAAAGATGAACTTCACATTCTAATACATTTTTGATTTTCTACTTCTTTTCTTAAAGATTTATGTGCAAGGAAAACAAGTTAGCACTTACTGGAAGCTTTAAACCTGCAGCATCTACAGGCTGATGAAATGGCCAGGAAAAGTTATGCCTCCACATTGCTTTCATGACCACCCTTTGCAAATACTGAAGCTGATTTGTTAAGCAGCCAGTTCCTTGGGTATTGATGTACTTCGGAGGGGGCGGATTGACGATTGTCATATGCTGTTGACTTGGGGCAGCCATCTTTCTCCCTAGTACATTTCCAATGCTTTGGAGGTCAATGTCTTCAGAGGATCTGTAAAGAAAAAAAAAATGCAAAATGCCTTTTGATTCATGGTTTATCCTGTACTCCAGAGAAGAAATAGCTTGAAGAAGGCAGAAAGCAGTAGAAAAAGATACAACTTACCACGCTACACAACATAACATTCTTTTAAAAATCTATGGCTGTCCCTAGCCAAACAATAATTTAAAAGTGACCAAAATCCTATTGTGTACTTGTGCCTGCGGCAGTGAAACTATGTAATTCACAGTAGCTTATTGCTGGCAGCTAACAAGTCCCTGCTTGGATTTTCTGGGCATGTGCCAATCTGATGGGTTGGCTTACACTGAAAAAGCCAAGCAGGAAATTGTTAATTACCATCACGAAGCTGCGGTAAATTATGATACTTGCCTTCCATAGGTGTAACTATGTATTAGGATTTTTTGCCAGTGAAATCAACTGTTTTCCAAATGTAAAAGGCAAAATTAGAATAAAGGTACATATCAGGAGAAGCAACCCCTCTAACAGGCAAGCAATATATAAGCAATTCACACACACACAAAAACACACACACACCTTTAGCAGATTTCATTTCAAGTAGCAGATTTCACACTATTCTTCTAGATCTCTTAACTGTCTTTCCAACTGTCATAGAATCTTTTATTCCAGGCTGGTTTAATAAGCCTAGTTGAGACAAGAACTTCATGAATTTAGTCTTCTCAGAGACATTTATTCCTCACAAGAAATACTGTTTCTTATATTTCTCTTTATACGGAGAATGGGGCTTATGAAGGGTTCCAAAAAGATCCGGCCAAACTGGGCAAAAGAGCCATTGAAATGGAACACACAGTTCAAAGTAAGCAAGTATACAGTGAGGCAAATTGGGAAAACAAACAAACACACACACACACACCAACTCTCTCTCTCTCTCTCTGTGTTCAGAAAAAATATCTTGGGATTTTGATGGATAGTAACAAACAAACACACACACACACACACCAACTCTTAACTTCACGTGATGTAGTCTAGGTTACTGGTATGTGTTCAGAAAAAAAGATCTTGGGATTTTGATGGATAGTCCATTAGGTAGCAGCTGTGAAAAAAAATCTATATTGGGATCATTAGGAAAGGAGATCAAACTACTTTTATCATAATCCCTTTATATGAAATCAGTGGTTTAATCACATACACAGAACATCCTGTACAGTTCTGGTAACTTGCCTTGAAAGATATTATGAAGACAATGGAGGTACAGGAAAGGGCAATCAAAATGATCGGTATAGACTCCTTCCCCAGTTGCTCTATAGAGCTCCAGTGTGGGCTTTTTCAAATATCACAAAACTGAAATCTGCCCAGCACAATTTTTTTACCAGAGCACTAGGGCTACCAAGTCCGCTATGAGACATCATGCTACTACTCCATGGGTACTCTTGTTAAGCAAGCAGCCATGCTCTTCTGGCTCAAGATAGTGCAACCATATGGCATCACCACTGGTCTCTTTGGCCTATGAAGTAAGGGGGAGGGACTCTTGGGCGTCTAAGATAGCCACAAGTATAGCAAGACTCCTTAGCCTACCTCCATAGAAGGGTAATATGAGGCTGCCGAGAAGATATAATTAAAAGAGGAAATTATGTTGCTCTCCAGACCACCATGGCATCTGTAACCTGTTGCTGCTCCAACAGAATATACTAAGGTTTTGCCTTGACTTTTGGAAAGCTTTCCCCTTCTTTGTCCCTTATTAACTCACATGAGTTGAGGCAACTGCTAACTAGGTGCAGACGGAACTCATTACAGTGGTGCATTGCAAGACAAATGCCTCGCAGGACAAAAAACTTGCAAGACAAATGGTTTTGGCGATGGGGTTGATGACTCACAAGATGAATGTCCCTATGGCCATGCTTCGCAAGACAAATGTTTTCCGTTTTTCGTTCCTGCCTCATGTTTGCTGATTTTTAAATGTTTTTCTATGATGTTTAAAAAGGTTAAAGTTTTTTGATTGAAATTTCTAAAATCATCTGCACAATATGTATGGCTTTAAAGAGTACTTAATAAACCCTTTGTAAACCAAATGTGACTTTGTTCTGACTTTTTGCCCATAGGAACACATTCATTAGATTTCAGTGCATTCCTATGGGAAAACGCGTTTCACAAGACACATTTTTTGCAAGACGACATTAACCATAGAATGGATTAAATTCGTCTTGCGAGGCACCACTGTACCAGTATACACCATACAGAATTAAACAATGCTGTTACAAAAGGTAGTGATGGCTGCCAACTTGAATATCTTTAGCAGAGAATGAGACAAAAAGAAGATAAAATTACTGTGAAGGAGATGTGAGTGAAAGTGAGCCGTCCTCAATAATAGAAGCCGTGATAGAGGAGAAGGAGAGCCATGATGTGAATGTGTCTGAGGAAAAAGAGATTGTGCTATAAGAGAAAAGAGGGAAGGTTGAAATCTGTCTGGTGGAGGAGGGTGGAAAGGAAAAAGGGGAGGAGCAAGTCTGTCAGTCTGGGAGGAAGGTCTAAATGTACAAGGAGAACGATGGTTTGGGGCAGATCTGGGAAAGGAGATAAGAAAGAAAGAGGAAGAGAGAAAGAGAGAGACTGCATATTAAAAAACACATGACTTGTCGAGAGATTTCCCAAATCTGAGAATGGGTTGACTGCTACCACACCCTGAAACTAAAGTTGAGGGAGAGTCAATGATAGAAACCCAAGAGTGGACTGTCACTGTGTTTCCGCACGAGCAAGGGAGAGGAAGGAAAGTGATTAGACCCGACTCCAGATACAATACGCCCCTGAAGGAGGGAGACTGGGCGAGGCACCCATGCTGCGGAACAATATGTGTGGTGAGGAGCGTGCCCCTTTGGAAGCCCACCGATCAGGAATGGTTTGGCTGAGCACCCCAATAAATACAGTACATTAGACTTTGGACACAAGTTTATGTCCCCTAGTTATGCCTTGTTGCCAGAGTTGTCTTGTTTTGAGCCGATTGGAACTACAGTTGAAAGATGTGAAAAAAAAAATAAAGACAAGAACATGAGTTCACTTAATATGTCTCCGACTTTATTTCCCGCCAAAAATGAAGCGCTGCATAGAGGTTCAAATGAACCTGATCACAATTGCCAATGCCTATTAATGAACTGGCTATATATATTGCCTCTGGTATTGCATACAGGATATCCCTACATACCAGCTACATGAAACTTTTGCTTTCTTTACAGTGGGGTCTTGACTTGAGAACTTAATCCGTATTGGAAGGCGGTTCTCAAGTCAAAAAGTTCTCAGGTCAAATCTGCATTTCCCATAGGAATGCATTGAACACCATTTGATCCGTATCTGCTCTTTTCCGTCCATAGAAACTAATGGGAAGCTGCTATTCCGCCTTGGACCACTAGAGGGGGATATTTTGTTTCTTTTTTTCTTAGGTCAAGAAAGGTTCAGGGAAGGCAGGGAGAATACAGTCCAGGCAGTACAGTACCAGGCAGTC